TGCTTAAATTGCCACAAAAGTAAATGTAGATCAGTCCCTGGAGCTTAGTAGTTAAGGAAGCCAGATTCCAGGTGGTCAACCATGGTTAGAGCCCAGCCCTGAAGGCTTGAAAGCCACACTGGATCCATGTGCATACAAGCTTGCCCCAAGTCCCGACAGGATGGAGAGATGGACGAGATTGCAGCGTGGCCATGCCCCGCCGGGGGTTGCTTTCTCCTTGTCTGTCTCTCTGTTTCTCTCTGGCAAGTGCCCTCTGGCAACTACAGAGTGAATGAAATCATTGGGGCTAGGTGGTGGCACAGAAAGAAAACACACACTCTAAAGATGACCCATATGGGAAGCTTCCAGGTTTGTGTGCGAGTCTTCCCTGAGCAGATCTGGCGTGCCTGTGAGGCTGGCTGACTTTGGCTGAAGCTGGCAGTAGATCGAGGCATCTCTCACTCAGAAGAAATAAATACATAAACAAACTTTAAAGAATAGAATGGAGGTGCTGGCAGGTGGTGTGGTGGTTAAAGGTGCTAGACTCTCATATGGCTGGCCGCGGTATGAGTCTCGGACCTGGCGGCTTGTTTTCTCACTCCCCCTCCCCATCTCTGTCCCTCCCTGGTCAACATTTAAATGACTGAATGAATAAATAAATAAAGTTAAATAAAATAATTCTTTAAAAAAGTAGTAAAATAAAATGGGACCAGCCTGTGACCTGGTGGGTAATGTGTCTGGATCCCACATGGCCAAGTGCACGGTTTGAGTCCCGGACCCATCAGCCTGGGAAACACACCAGCCACGCGTGCACGTGTGTGTCCAAAATCCTGAAAGGAGGAAGATGGAGGAGAAGGGATTGCAGCATGACCATCTTCCATGGGGGGTGCTTTCTCACTTTCCTTCTTTCTCTCTCACTCTGTCTCTCTGGCAAGCATATGTGCCTTCTGGCGAAAATGGAAAGATATATCAATAATTTATATTCTAGTGTTCAATATTTTTTCAATTGGCAATATCGACCTTCACGCATGTTACTTCTACATATATACAATTTCTGCATGTATGTACACACATGTCAATTTAGAGTAATAGCACAAAATATCCTTCCACTGTCACGCACAGCAATTGTGAACACTGCTAAATGAGATGGCTGATGGTGGCATGGTGGTGGACATACCAGAATCACCGAATCACCCTATTTATGAAAAGCACAGGGGGAGCTGACGATTCCGGAACTTCAGGCAAGCCGCTCCTCCCCTTGGCATGACGCCACTCAGCAGCCCTTACAGAAAAGCTGGCCTCTTTCTGGTAGTTTTGCCCAAAGTCTCCTTGGCTTTGATTGGTCAGGCAGAAGCCCCACTTCTGCCCTGGAACTGGGAGTGAAGTCAACCTCACCTAAACCACCGGGCGAGGTGGAAGGGGGTTATCGTCGGCAGAAAGGGAAGCAGAGTGGACACCAGGGAAGTGGGGATGCCCTCCTTGCCCCCACTTTTCCCTGAGGAATATGCCCATCCCTGTTTTCTGCGGGTCCATAAGCATGGGCCCAGCGTGGGGTCCAGGGAATGGTGTTCATCCTGTCTGGGCTGTTGGTCTTCCAGCGATGGGACCGGAGTCCTGCAGTGAGAAAGAGCCAGGCCGGCAGCCGCCTGCTTTCCATCTGGGGCTGAGCTGCCTCCTCCCTTTGCAGGCCGCCCATCCTCTGTCGCCTTCGCGGGGGTGGTGGCCGTGGCTGACCAGTGGCCTGGCTGTGGAGATGCTCCGCAGAGCGGCCGTGAGGAGCAGCGAGTCTGGGCGGTCAGAGCACATGGCAACTGGAGCAAGCAGTGGGTAGTACTATGGTCTCCCCCACGGGGTGGCACTGCTTCCCCCTGACCTGCCAGCCGAGGTAGTGTCTGTCCTTTCTCCACTCTGTGACGAGTCACCCGTGGAGCCACACCTGAGTGGCCCGGAACCACGGCTGCAGGGTGTGCACTGCAGAGACGCTGCACTGTGCAGGCTGGGACCACAGGGGAGGCCCCTGTGTGAGGCCCCAGGTCCAGTCTAAAGGCAAGAGGAGCGCCAGTCAGACCCTATCTGAAAACAAGCCCGGAGTCGGGCGCTCCATGTCTCCTGCAGTCCCAGTGGGAGGCTGAGACAGGAAGATCTTGACATCCGAATTTGCCCAAAGTCAAGTGGAGGGCCACTGCTCATGTGTTGGTTAGGTGCTGGATCCCACATGGCCAACCCCACGTTTCAAGGCCTGGAAAAACACTCCGGGTTGGGATCAGCAGATGGCATAATGGTTACATCACAGGACTCCCATGTAGTCGACCACAGTTGGAGTCCCAGACCCAAAGGCACACTCTCCTGAAAGCCTCACTCAGTACTTCTAATATACTGCATGTTGGACATGTGTGTGTGCATGCCCAAAATCCAGAGAGGAGAATGGAAGAGAAGGGACTGTGGCGTGGCCATCCCTCCAGGGGCGATTTCTCACTTTCTGTCTCTCAGTCTCTCTGGCAAATGCACGTGCCCTATAGCAAAAATCTCTCTCTAAAAAAAAAAATGTATTCCTCGTCTGAATTCATGGACTATTTCTTTTTTTTTTAAAGAGTGCGTTACTACTTCATTTTGTTGCTATGGGGGACATTGCTACTATCCAAGCACCTTCGAGTCTGACATGACCCATTCAGAATGGGCACCTTTGCCCATCCGGAATCAGTCCTGCAGTTGGCCTGGATTTGGGCAGCACTGCCACAGGGCAGGAAATAGCCCAGGTGACATAGAAATATCTTCCAGGCTTGGAAAAAGCAAGAGAGGCAGCAGGCCTGGGGGAAGACGAGAAAATGCTGCCGAATCCAATTTTTACGTCATTCATGAAGCCTGAACTCCCCTTCTGTACCTGCAGCATTGGTCTCTCGTTCAACCCCACGTGCTGGCCCTAGGCTGTGTGCCCAGTGTGCTAAACACCAGGTTGTGCATGTCTGCTGAGGGGTGGACACATGTACAGGTTATCGTGCAGTGGGCCATCCCAGCTATGGTGTCACAATCCCACAGGAAAGTGAGCGAGTAAGGCCATAGCAGCAAGATCCAGCTCTGGCTTCACTAGGTGTATCTGCAGAACTGGCTTCAGCCTGATTAAGGGGCCCTACTGTGGGGACCAGACTCCCACATGGTTGCCTGTGGTTCAAGTTCCAGACCTGGCGCCTCGCTTTCTTGCTTTCTCTCTCTCTCTGGTAAAATTTAAATAAATAAATAAAGTTAAATGAAATAATTTAAAAATAATAATAAAATAAAATAGAGGCCCAACAGCAATGGGGAAACACACAGGAGGTTGTCTTGATCTGTTCTCTGCCACTATAACAAAATTCCCAAGACTGACTACACGCAATAGCTGTTTATTTGGCTCAGGTTTCTGGCAGCTGGGAGGTCCACAGCATGGCAACAGCATCTGCCCGGGGTCATCCCATGGAAGATGAAAAGTAAAATGAGCACGTGAGACAGACAGGAAAAGGAGGCTGAGCTCCGGGATAGCTAAGCCATCTGGTGACAATGACGTTAGTCCATTCTGGAAGGCAGAGACCTTACAGCCTAATCCCTTCTTAGTACTGTCACAGGGTGAATGAATTTCTACTTGAGTTTTGAAGAGGGTGTTCTAACTGAAGCAAATCTATTTTGTCATGGGAACAGGCCGAAGAGAACTCATATGGACACTACATTAACTCATCAGAGCTTGGCTCTTTCTGTGTTTCTGCTCCACTGTTCATGACTTCCATTCTCGGGATCGTCTCATGGTCTAGAATGGCTGCTAGAGTTCCATCCATTGCTTCCATGTTCCTGGGGCAGGAAGGACAAAGGAGGAAGGACCAAAGGCACATTCTCCTGAAAGCTTCACTCAACACTTCTAATACATTTCTTTGACAGAATCTACTCCTATGGCCACAGCGGCTTCCAGGAAGGCTGGGCAATTAAGTCTTTCAGCCAACAAACTACAAATCTGAGAGAAAACAAAACAAAACATGGAAGAATGAGGCACCCAAGTTGACGAGGCACCCAGGACCATCTGCCACAGAAGGGTGTCAGATGTTCGGTGAGCCAAAGGGGAGCTGGAGGAGCAGGAGAGACATTGGACAGGAGCCAGGGGCCTTCTGGGGACCTGTCAGGAGACATGGTTAGGGGAGGGACCCTGACACCCCTGGAACCACCACTGGAATCTATTCTTACAGCGAGCTTATCTTGGCCTATCACTGCTCAAGATTACAACTCCCAGATACATGCATCCAATCAGCCAGCTTAGTCACGTGACCGTGTCCTGGCTGCCAGGGGAGAGCAGAGAACCCTGTTCAGTCTGTGGCGGGGGTGGGGCCTGTCACCTCCTGGAGTCTCACACTGTGAGAGAGGGCTGGTGCAGGGCAGGCACAGAAGACCAGCGACCCCTACAGATACACTATGCAGGACACCTGTACCATCTCGGGGGGGTCCCCACCAACAACAAGACCCTTACTTGATGTACTCCCTTGACCCTGGGTCTCTGTAGCCATCAACTAAATAAACGTCTCTTTACGAACTACCCAGATGGCTCTGTCAGTAGCAGCAGAGAACAGCCTAGAACATTCTGCTGTGGATCTGGGTCATGATGGTGGCTGCAGCTCCGAGTGCAGATCCAGGCCTGTGAGTCCACAGTCACTCCTTTTCACTCTCAAGTTAGGAATCATTTCCGTTCCACTTTAAAGGAGAGAAAATTGAGGCACAGAGAAGTTAAGACAAACCTGCTCCCTCCTCAGGGCCTGTTGTCTGGCTTGGTGTGGGTCTGCCTCTTCCTAACCTGAAACAACCCAGAAACCAGCACTTACGTCATCTGGCAGGTTGTCACTTCAAGTTACAACTGGTCTTCATATCTACTTCCTCATTTTCTGAAATGTCACTTTTCTTTGGCTTGAGCGTTTTCCTTTTCATCTTCTCCTTCTTCATGCTGTTTCATTTAACTGTGATGGTGCTAAAGCCCTTTGCTTTAAAGTTATCTAGCCAAGCAAGTGGTAGTTTGTAACCTTCGCCAGATAATTAATGCGTGACAACCACAGGCTTTGCACACGCTTCGGCAGCAGGCTTGGGAGGAGCGCACAGACACCAGAGCTACAAATAAATTACAGGGGAAGGCTGCACCTCCCCCTGAAAACGAACGCTCCGCAGATGGCGGCCTGCTGCTCCCGGGCGTCCTTGTCAACAGTGTGGGCAACACGCATGGTCTCCCCGAGGGGGAGACTGAGGCAAGGCAAGTGACTCACAAATGGCATTCAGCAAGTTGTCGCTGGAGGCGTGCAGCGCGGAGTTCCGGGCAGAGTCTGCCTAAAAGAGGGGGTTATGTGCACCGGGTCCAGCATCTGAACGGCTTTCTGCAGACAGACCTGGGACAAGTGGACCCTCTCCTTAGGTTGGGCCCCTCGGTCCTGCCCCCAGCTCCTGTGCCAGGTGGAGCTAACTGGATCTTCGTTGCAGCCCACGTGAGTGCCCTTGCCCACTCACCTTGCACCCAGGCCCTTCTAAACGTGACCTCCACCCAACACTCCAGCCTGCCCCCACCCCGGCCCCGTAAGCCCTCAGTTCCACCAGCTCAAATTGCCCACCACCCTTCTTGGCTTCTCCACCCCTACTCCAGCTGCCCCTGCTCCAGTGAAGGCCCTTGGCCCACTTTTGTCCTGACCAGTCCTCCTCGTCCATTTTTCTCAACTGAGCTCAGGCATCACTTCCTCCAGGAAGCCCCCAGTTCGGTCACTGGTCTGGATTCACTGCTTGTTCTCTGTGCTCTCAAATGACGTGTGACCAGCTCTGCATCCAGCGTTTTAGTTATTTCTCACCCTGCCGCCACTCCCGCCTGGGCATTCCGGAAGGCGAGGATTGTTTTACCTCTGCATCATCTGCTCCTGGCATGATGTGCCTAGCACCTAGCTCCCCTGAGAACTGTCATCCACTGCAGATGGTATGTGGTCATTCTTCTGACACCCATGTCAACAGTGTTGGTAACCAGTACGTTCACACTAAGCTGGAAACCGAGGCAGGGCAAGGTAAATGACTCCCTGTAGCACAGAAGCAGGTGAGAGAGGAGTTCTGGGCAGACCCCAGCTGAGAATGGGGATTACCTCACACTGCATCCACTGTTTGTTGAGTGACTGACTGAAGGTTTCCGGAAGTACTCAGTTCTTCCTGTACTTCTGTATACAGTGCGTTACCCTGATCCTTTGACTCTGTTTTGTATTTCTTTTTTTTTTTTTTAAGTTCTTTTTTATTTTCCTCCACACTGGCCAAAGTTCTGAGGGAGCTTAAAGTTTTGTAAACATTTTAACTATCCCTCTTCCCCACCCCCCCTTTGTTTTGTATTTCTTTTTTTTTTTTTTAAGTTCTTTTTTATTTTCCTCCACACTGGCCAAAGTTCTGAGGGAGCTTAAAGTTTTGTAAACATTTTAACTATCCCTCTTCCCCACCCCCCCTTTGTTTTGTATTTCTTTTTTTTTTTTTTAAGTTCTTTTTTATTTTCCTCCACACTGGCCAAAGTTCTGAGGGAGCTTAAAGTTTTGTAAACATTTTAACTATCCCTCTTCCCCACCCCCCCTTTGTTTTGTATTTCTTTTTTTTTTTTTTAAGTTCTTTTTTATTTTCCTCCACACTGGCCAAAGTTCTGAGGGAGCTTAAAGTTTTGTAAACATTTTAACTATCCCTCTTCCCCACCCCCCCTTTGTTTTGTATTTCTTTTTTTTTTTTTTAAGTTCTTTTTTATTTTCCTCCACACTGGCCAAAGTTCTGAGGGAGCTTAAAGTTTTGTAAACATTTTAACTATCCCTCTTCCCCACCCCCCCTTTGTTTTGTATTTCTTTTTTTTTTTTTTAAGTTCTTTTTTATTTTCCTCCACACTGGCCAAAGTTCTGAGGGAGCTTAAAGTTTTGTAAACATTTTAACTATCCCTCTTCCCCACCCCCCCTTTGTTTTGTATTTCTTTTTTTTTTTTTTAAGTTCTTTTTTATTTTCCTCCACACTGGCCAAAGTTCTGAGGGAGCTTAAAGTTTTGTAAACATTTTAACTATCCCTCTTCCCCACCCCCCCTTTGTTTTGTATTTCTTTTTTTTTTTTTTAAGTTCTTTTTTATTTTCCTCCACACTGGCCAAAGTTCTGAGGGAGCTTAAAGTTTTGTAAACATTTTAACTATCCCTCTTCCCCACCCCCCCTTTGTTTTGTATTTCTTGACTTGCCTAAACTCCAAAGTCCTTAGGTAAGAAACAGAGGGCTGGAGCTCCCTAAAACGGAGTCTGTCTTTACAATGGAGACCATCATCGTCCCTGCCCCGTGGGGCTGAAATGAGGATCAACCTTAAACGCGCAGTGACGCCTGCTTTGTTCACGGTACATCTCCCTGGTGTAGACACCTGTCTGGTAGGAGGCACTTAAAGCTATGTCAGGCAGACCCGAGAGTGCGCAAGTCTTAGTCATTATTCTCACTTTTTAATTTCTTGTTTTTAGAGAGATTTTTGCTGTAGGGCACATGCACTCGCCAGAGAGACAGAGAGAGTGAAACCAAGAAATCACCCCCTGGGGGAAATGGCCATGCCACAATACCCTGTCCCCCATTCTCTTCTTGGGACTCCAGGCACACACGCACATGCGCCTGGTGCGAGCTTCAAGCCTCCGGATTCAAACTGTGGTGGGCCATGTGGGAGTCCAGCGTCCCAACCCCTACGCCACCGGCTGGCCCCTTGTTATCGTTCCTGGATGACTGCCACAGTCTGATGCATCCAGCGTGTCCCCTCCAATGTTCCAACTTGGGGGGTTCTGTAAGTGGACTCCAAGGGCAGGTACACATGGAGAAAGAGATTCATTTCCGAACCAGCTTCGGGGCCTCGTCCCCGGTTCGCAGTGGTGGTAATCACCATCTCCACCTGGAAAAGCCAGGTGACTCAGTGGGCGGAGGTGCCACCTAGGCCTCCGGGGCAGGAAAAGAGCTGGGACCTTGGCCAGCCCCGATGGGCAGCAGCTCTCTGGTTCCTGGAGAAAAGTTGGTGCAGGCTCTCCTTCACCTTGGGGGGAAATACACAGGCCAGGAGCCAAAGCTGCTTCCCCACCTGCAGTCCCCCCACCTCCACAGGCCAGCTGTGCTTTCCTGGTCTGTCAACTACACAAAAGGATGACATTTAGTCTGTGACACGCTATTAGCAGTCCCCGCAGGGAACTCTCAGAGGGCAAGGACGGAGCCTTGTTCTCACACAAGCCACAAAGCTGGCTCAATAAATAAATAATTTTGCCTGCTTTAACACAATGCTTCAGCCCCACTCTCCCACCCGCAGCAGGGGGCGGATTTCGAGGACAAACCGTGAGGTACTTGGTGTCACCACTTGGCCGAGCGTTTTTGTCAGCTAGACCGGAGTCCCAGGTCAGCCTGCAGGAACCAGGCCCAGCAGAGGTACCCCACCAGGGGCGTTTGGAACGAAGGACGCCAGGTGAGGCTGTTGGCAGGAACAAGGTGTCTACGCATGAGGGACAGTGGGAAAGACAGACCGACAGCTGGAGCCCTGTGCACCCAACTCCCTTTGAATCCGCCAGCTCTGCTGTGAGTGGGTGACCTGGCTTCTCCAGAGAACGTGGGACTTGAGAGCAGGAGAGATGTGTCCTCTCCTATCCCCCTTCTCGTCGCCCATATGCCAAGCTGAGGCTTCTCGTTTGCCTCCAAGGGTGGGGAGGCAGCAGGCCTGCCCCTCTGTGGACGCGGCGTGTCTGCCTGAGGCCTGGCACACTGGGAGAGCACTTCCTGCATCCAGCTGCCTCCTCCAGCCAGCGTGTCAAGCTACAAGTACCCACTGAGCACCTACTGTGCGCCAAGTGCTGGGCCAGGTGCTGCGGAAGGGCAAAGCAGCAGAGGTCACTGGGGGCCCATGGCCTGTGGAGCATTAACTGGTTGGAGGCCTACAGACACAGTGGGCCCTGCAGGGCGTGCGATCGAGGTGGTGCGGGCACAGTGGGCCCTGCAGGGCGTGGGATCAACGTGGTGTGGGCCGTAGGGGTGGGGGCGGTGAAAGTACGGCTCTGGCCGCTCCCTCCCCTCCTTACAGGGCTCCTGCTCTGAGACTCTCACTCATTCCCCAGGGCCCCCTGCACTGATGACCCCAAATCTGGACCTTGGGCCATGCCTCGGGCTGGAGTTCCTGACCTAGGGGCTCAATTTTCCCATCAAGCTCAGAGTACCCGCAAGGGAAGCCCCTCCTCTTCCCACGGGCAGTTCTGGCTCCTGTGCCCCGTCCCCTCCATGTTGGAGCCACTCCCTGACTCCTCTCTCTGCCCCATCCCCTTACCCAACCGTTGACAACTCCACGGGCCCTACTGCCGAATCTTCACTAGGCTGTCTTGCCCAGTGTTGCTGTCACAGTTTCCGACCGGGGCCTCTGGCTCTCCCCAGGCCAGACTCCAAGATCACAAACCACTGTTCTCGCGGTGGCTCCCTGTTACCTTCCGGAAAGTCCTGAAACCTGCCAGATGTCACCCCCTGGGGGCCCCCAGGGCTGCCCCAGGTCCCATCCCACCTAAGGCCTAATTCTTTGCTTTGAAAATTTTTCAAAAAAAAAAGTTTGAAATTCATGCTGATTTTTTTCAGTTCTTTGTCTACTCCTTTGACCGGGAGAGCTAACCTAAACCGTCCAGCCCACCCTTCTGTGCTCCGCTGCTCGCACCTCCCCCTGCCTCCTGGCCCTCTGCATGCCAGTCCTATCTGTCCACACGGCAGGTCTTCATCCCTTGGACCATCCCAGGTCCTCATCCTTCGCTCCTGCCCTTCTTGTACACCCTCGGGACGGGCTAGTCACAGCACACCTGGGCCTGGGCCTGGGCCTGGGCCTGCTGGGCGTTAGAGTAGAAGCCTGCCTCTCTTGTCTGACAGCTGCTCTGCTCAGGAGCACACACAGCAGGGCCCAGCAGACACCACCTCCTGGTTGGCACCCAGACACATTTGAGAGGAGAGCTGGTGTGTGGCAGGGGTGGCCATATCGTGTCCGTGACTCCTAGACAGTGTCACACCCAAGTCATAGCCTCTTCTGAAGAAGTGGGACAGCACTTTCTGCCCATTACCAAAGTCCGCCTCCTCCCTGCAGAGCCATAGCGGACAGCCTGCGCTGTACTCAGATGGAGCAAGAGTTAGGCCCGAGGGAGGGCATGCACCTCAGCCCCGACGGCTGGGCTTGCAAGTCAGTGCCGCGTTCCCCAGGTGCAACCACGGATGGCTCACCTAACCCGTGGGTCCCATTTGCCTCTTCTAGACAAATAGGAAAGTGGTGCTTCCTTGTAAGACTGTGAGGAGCTGGCAGGTGGCATGGTGGTTAAGATGCTGGACTCCCACATGGCCAACTGTGGTTTGAGTCCCAGACCAGGTGGTTTGCTTTCTCATTTTCTCGCTTTCTCTCTAGTTACTTAAATAATAATAATAATAATAATAATAAAGAGATAGTTAATTGTTTAGGGCCAGCAGGTGGCATGGTGGTTAGGGGAACTGTACTCCCACATGGCTGACCACAGTTTGAACCCCAGACCTGGCGGCTTGCTTTCTCACTTTCCCTCTCCCACACGCTCATGTACTCTCTCTCTCTCTCTCACTCTGTCCCTCTCTGGTCATATTTAAAGAAATAAATAAATTTAAATAAAAAATTATTTGAAAAAAGGCTGTAAGGAATGAACAATATGACACACAGGGGCTTCAGAAAGTTCTTTCTAAATGGAATTGAAGTATAAGCTTAATTTGGTACAAAATTTTGAGTTTCCACCCATGAAATTCATAATACACATTTCCACTACCTTTTTGAAGACCTTCCATTTAAGGCACCCAGGAAGCGTCTAACAAAGGCTGCCACTGGGGCCCCGGAAGGTGGGAGTGCTCCCCTAAGCTCCCCTGCCCCTCACCCTGGGGGCAGCCCTGGCCTTGCCTGTCCCTGTCCTGGGGGACCATTGAGCAAGCTTGATTCTGGTCCCCCCTTCCCTTCCTTACCTACCTTGCATCTGGTCACTAGCCTTGGTGGAAGGCCTGGGGGAACACGAGACCATATGGACAGTCCCTGGCAAGCCCAGGGCAGGGGCAAGTTTAATTCTTACTGGGGCACATGGTGGGGCTATGAGTCGAGCCTGTCTCTCAAATTCAGCCGCACAGGTCCTGAGCTGGTATCTCCATCTCAAGTGTCTTTCTCACTCGGTTCAGAACTCAGGAGGCGAGGACGGGGGTTTCACCTTAGCGAACACTCGCGCCGCACTTGCCCGGGCCAGGCCCTATTCTAAGCATCTTTCCAACCGTAACCAGTTTAAAGCATGTGACAGCCCCATTTTAGGCGAGGACACCGAGTCCCACAGAGGAAGCCCTTCCAAGGCCCCCAGCTAATAGGTGACAGCCAGGGCTCGTGCCTAGGTGGCCAGGCTCCCAGCCCCTGGTATCTACAGCCTTTGTCAAAGCACGCGGTAACATGCATCCAGCCCATAAAGCCCCTGACCTGTAAAAGACATTAGTCTTCCATTCCTATTTTAAGACAAAGCAAAGGCTGAGAGGAAGTAGATAAGGAGGTCATGCTTCCCGGAGCTCTGGGTTTGGCCGACCCTCCTATCGGCAGGAGCAGAGAGAACATGAGCAAGGGGGGAGGCCCGAGAGAGGCCCCAGGGCGTGTGTGGGGCAGCCTGGCAGTGCTGGTCTGCCAGCGGAAATGACTAACTCCCGTCAGGGTGCATGAGCCACTGCGAACCAAGCTACTGAACTCACAGAAGCGGACTGAAAGCGGAGAGAGGGGACAGCGCTGCACAGGAGGACGGGCAGGCTCCGGCTGCAGCGGCGGCCCCTGGACTGCCATCTGCAGAGGGGGCCACATGGCACAGACGATGGGCCATCACGGCTCACGCTCACTTTCTCATAAATAATGACTGTGAACTTAGGGAGCAGGTACATATGGCCAAGGAAAGTACAGCCAAGCGGGGAAGGATGTGGAACCATGGCCTGCAGACACGGGTGGTGTGCGGGCTGGTTCCTGGCAACTCTGCGGTTCCAGCTCCAGGGTGGGGCCAGCTCAGCTCTCTCCAGCCTCGGGCCTTGAGCTTGAGTCCAGTTACTCCTCCTAGGGTAAAGGCTGGCTGTCTGGGATCAACTGGCCATCGCTATGGCTATAAGCTGTCCCTCCAGGTCTGCGGGGCGCAGCCAGGCTTGGAGAGTGGCCGGAGCATGCAGCAGGAGGGAATCGACCAGGCTGGGCTGCGGGGAGAGTATTTCCGCCCCACCTGGGACTTTCTCTCAGGGCCAGTGCGTGGCCACCCGGAACGTGCTGGCCGGTTCTTCCCAGAGACCGTGGTGAGTGTCTCTGGAGACCGACCTGAGCCTGGCCTGCAGCTGCCCCCCGCAGATGGGCAGGCCCATGGCCACAGGAAGCTACTCTGGGAGCCAGAGCAGAGTGGCAGCAGGGCTGGCGTCCCGGGCCTGTGACAGGTACAGCCCAGAGGGCTCATAAGGCGACCACTGACTGGGCTACTGCTTCGCAGTCACCGTCTTGAAAGCCTCTCTTCCAGTTTGCTGGAGGGTGCATGTGCTTTCTGAAGAGACACAGAGACAGAGAGAGAGTGAGGAAGCATCTCCACACTCTGTTCTCCACTCCTCTCTCAGAATGGAGGTGCATGCACGCGCGCGCACACACACACACACACACACACACACACACGCACTCACACACGCACACACACACCTGGCGTATTCTTCAAGCTGCCAGGACTCAAACCGGGCAGTCAGCCATGCGGGATCCAGCCACCCCAACCTCCATACCACTGACTGGTCCGCCGTCTTAAAACCCTGCTAGTTCATCTCTGAGTCCGTGCTCCGTGTGTGAAGTCTGGAGGACACTGAGCCTCGGCTCAGCTCACCTCAGTAGGCCCTGCCCTGCCGCCTCCCCGTCCCCTGGTTCCTTGTACCCCAGGCCACATCCAGCCTGGCCCCTCCTGTTCTTGCTTCCCCGCAAGGCCGGGACCTCCACCCGCACTGTCTGGGATGGGGCGTGGCGGCTGCCCCCGTCCTTGGCTGACGGCACCCCAGACCCCTCTGGTCCAGGTACCAAGCAAGTCCTGGTGCTGAGGTTGCGTCCTTGGGGACCGCTCTCTGCCACAGGTTGGAGCAGCCTATGGAATCCGGGGGGAGACTTCCTGCCCCTCCCCACAGCTGAGCACCCACTTTCACTTTGCACTGGGGCCCGCAAATTGTGAAGCTGGTCCCCCATGACTGGGGCAGCACCAAGGAGTGTGGCTTGGCTTGGAGACCATGTGGCTCAAACCACATATCCTCTCAGCTCCACTGGGAGCCATCATCTACAGGTCTGTGTGCAGAACGCTTCCCGGAGGACGAGTAACGGGGCCGGACCTCCCGGAGCAGCAGGCAGGGCCAGGGCTGGGGAGAGTCTCCAGGCTGCGGAACATGTGCTAAGATTCTTAACCAGGACCGTCTAGTTCAGGGAATCCCGGCGTCGGGCCAGCTGAGAGCAGAGGCTTTGCGGCAGGGAGAGGTCACTGAGCAGTCCAGAGGAGGACAGGGCAGGCTGAATGGCATATACACTGGCCTGTGTCCTAGCTGCTGAGGCTCCAACCGTGTGTGAAGCCACAGATGGTTGGGTTTTATCTGTTCGGTTAGTTCTCAACCTTAGCAGGTGGCCAGAGTGGAAGCCATGATGACCCACTTGAGTGACACCTCTCCTCAAAGATCCAGAACATCTTTTGTTTTTGTTTTCAGTAATTATTTTATTTAACTTTATTTATCCATTTATTTTAATTTGATCAGAGAGGGACAGAGCAAAAGAGAGAGAGAGAAAGTGAGAAAGCAAGCTGCCAGGTCTGGGTCTCGAACCGCAGTTGGCCATGTGAAAGTCCAGTGCCATTAACCACCACGCCACAGCCAGCCCCGAAGATCCATAACATCTTACAATGTATGTGAGCTGCATCACATAAAAGAACCATGTTTCAGGGCTGGAGGTGGTGTGGTGGTCAAAGCACTGAATTCCCACATGGCCAACCACAGTTTGAGTCCTGGCCTGTGACTTGCTTTCTCACTTTCCTTCTGTCTCTCTCTCTGGTCAAATTTTAAAAACAATAATGATGAATAAAATAAAATAATTCTTGGCATGATGTGGGAGGAAGCTGTGGAGGAGGCAGCCTCTGATCTGAGATGACAGGGGAGAGCGGGGCAGGCCAGGGTGGAGCTGCAGGCAGGGTGTGGACTGGCCCCAGGCAGGTGGAGAGGGTACCGGTCACATTCGTCTGTTACCTGATGCTGCCGTGTTGGCGAGATGTGATTAGAAGACCCCGAGGAGGCCATGTGGCAGCGAGGGCCGTCTGACCCACCTGGGGCTGAAACTCCAGCGGGGCTGTCTAAGAGGCGTCCTGCCCGTGCCCTACCAGGCATGGATGTGCTGTGGCCTCCAGCTCAGGCACCTCTGCACTGCCATGCCTACCCTAGCGGGGGTCTTCCCTCTCTCCTCCCCTGAACTCAGCACTTGGCTTTGGTCCCAGGCTTGAGCCCTGGGTTTAACGAGGGTTTCTGCCCAGTGCCTCCCAAGGCCACTGAGGCCACTGAACAGGGATGCACTCCTGGGCTGGTGGCTGGGGACAGGCTGAGCAGGGTGAGGCGTAGCAGGAGGCCAGCCAGAGGGCCCTCCAACTCCCCTGCCCCACTGGCCCTTGCTGCTGCGGCCCCGGCCTGCCTTGCAGCCCCCTAACCAAGTCTGCACCATGCCTCACCTCGCCTCTTCTGGTTTAGTCTCCCTCTTCCCAGCCCCCATTATGACGGGGTGTGAGAACCCAGAGCAGCTCCCTCCCACACCCTGTGGCCCCCTCTCTGCCTTTGGCAGAGGGAGTCCCCCCACCTTATCCTGAGGCTCTGGATGAATGTTCCCGAAGCCAAAGAGATGCACGATTGTCTCCCTCACACACATAGAATGCCATGGCAACGGCAACTCCGTGACAACAGCCAAGGAAGCCAGACCAGAATCTGCCAACCCAGAGAGCCCACCATCTGTGAGGCCAAACCCTCCCGCTGTGCCCGGCTTTGCCCAGAGCAGGGGCCACATTCGGCGGCTAAGAGCGAGCAGCAACGTCCTCCGAGGTGTGCCTTTTCCCGCACTGGTGCCCCGCTGACGGGGAGAGGAAGCCAGGAGAAGGTCTGAGCGAGCAGGCGGGGGCTTCAGTCAGAGATGCGGGTCTGGCTCCGGGGAGGAGCTTCTGGGTCGCAAGCGGCCACTGGGAGACGTCCAGGACCGTCCTCAAGCCCATTGGTCTTCTGGAAGTCTGCTTCCCACAGAGGCGAACATCTGCATACATACATGTATATATTTAAAGGTTTTAGCAATAGGGTACATGTGCTCCAGAGAGAGACAGAGAAAGCAAAAGTGAGAAATCACCCACTAGGGCAGATGGCCATAAGCAATCCCTTGTCCTCCATTGCCTTCTCGGGATTCCGGGCACGCGTGCATGCACATGCACACACACACACACACACACACACACACACGCAATGTGATTTTTCAAGCCACCAGGTCCAGGCCACAAACTGTGGTCAACTATGTGGAAATCTAGCCTTGAGCACCATGCCACCTTCTAGCCCCCCTCTGTGTACAGGCCGGGTGTATACAGATGTGTGTAGGTGTGTACAGACACATCAACCCTCTAGGCCTTGGGTCCCCATGGACTTACACTTTTTCCAGTACCAACAGTTTTCCTGTAGGAAACACAAGGGCACTTCACAAAGCTGGTGAAAAAGTAAAATTAAAGTACAAGCTTTTATTGGTGTAAAGAAATGAAATCTGGGGGCCAGCAAATAGTGTAGTGGTTATGTTGCTGGGCTCTCACATGGTCGATCGCAGTTCAAGTCCTGGACCCAATGGCTTGAAACCCATGCTGGGCTCTTGTGTGTGCGTGCACAAAATCCTGAGGGGAGAATGGAGGAGAAGGGATTGTGGCATGGCCATTCCCCTATGGGGGTGATTTCTTGCTTTTTTCCCTATACCAAGAATCTCTCAAAAAGAAAAAAAAAATTGAAATCCATGAAAGTTTTGCCATGGTACGTATTTTTCATAACTTCTTGAAGACCTCTCCTGCAGTGTCTCTCGTGTGTATTAACTTGTTCGCTGTTTGCAGCAAAGCTAGGAGGAGGTTCCACAAGGCCTTCTCTCTGTCTTTTAATTTGCCAGGGGGCTTGTGCATCACCAGAGAGTGAGCGAGAGGGCCCCATCGCCCTGGTCCCACCCCTCTCCCACCACTGTGAGGAATGGCCATGCCCTAGTCTCTTGTCCATCTCTCCCTCTTGGGATTTTGGGCATGCACTGGCGTGTTCCTCAAGCTGCCGGATCTGGGACTTGAACTGTGTATTTGACTGTGTGGGATCCAGCTGCCTCAACCACCAGGCCCTGGGCTGGCCCAATTCCTTTTTCTTTTAAAGATGAGGTGACGTCTGAGATGTGAGGTGTCCCAAGCCGCCAGCCGGGGAAGAGGAGGAAGCAGCCAAGGAAGGTGTGGACATGACCTTCACTTAAACACCTCTCCTGGGAGACGCTGCCACGGACAGGTCCCGTGATATTTTTTTCCTAAAAAATACCAGCCTGACAGACCTTGAAGCTCCCATACACGTTGCAGAGGGCTTGGGCGCAACCGCGGCTGGAAGTCACGCGCGTCACGCGGCGACTCGCTGGATGCAGCAGCTCCGGTCCCGCCCGTCACTCCTGCACAGCTGTCCTGGAGCGCTGGGCCCAGTACCCAGGTGCAGGCCTACCTGCCCTCTCCCTCTCCGTCCTCGTTGAGTCCTGCTGCCAGAGGCAGAAGAGACAAGGCCGGGGTGGGTTCGGGCAGCCAACGAGAGACCCTTAGGGGACTGGAGCCAAAGAGCCACAGGCCCAGGGCCATGGCCAAGCCCAGGAGTTGAGGGTGGGGTCACGGGACTGTGGGCTTGGTGCTTGCTGGACACAGGGCAAAGGTGGACGAGCTGGGGGAGGCCCTCTTTCACTGCTGTCTGAATCGCAGCAGCTCTGAGGGAACACTGGGGGACAAGCACAGGCGAGGCTCAGGTGGGGGGACGGGGCGGGGCCCCGAGGGACAGGTGGAGGCTTCGGGAAGGGCCCTGTGAGAAGAGGCTGGGGGAGGACAGCAGAGAACCAGCCTGAGGATTGGGGTTAGGGTGTGAGGAGTGTAAGGGGACAAGGACTGTGGGTACACAGGGCTGGGGGCTCCAGAGAGAACCAGGCTGGACAGACACCCAGGGAGCCATGGGCCAGGGAAGGCGACGGAGCCTCAACTCCATCTGCTGGCACTTCTCAGGTCTGTCTTGCCCCTCAGGCAGCTTCAGGTGTCCCTGCCCGCGTTCCCTGCCTCAGCTGCCCTCCCTGATCCGGTGGCAAACGCCTGCGCACCTGGAACACTCAGACCCAGGGCATCTCCTGGGAGGGCCGTCTCCAGGTAGGGCCCACCATCCCCTCCACGTCTGGCCCTGAGGCCGTCCTCTCACTGCCGTGGACCGCACAGAGCCCTTTGTCTTTCTCTGTGCCCTCTCCAGAGCAGGGTGCACACTCCCGGCAGACTCCGTAATTTAGGTCGGCTGGATCACACAGGCTGATGGACGGTTGCATGAAGAAGTGGTGACGATTCCAGATGACAGGAAGCCCTGGGGGGTGTGAGCAGAGCGGCTCTGGGTGAGCAGCGCACCAGTGGGCCTGTGAGGTGGGTAGGGGGCCAGGGGTGCTCCCACACAATGCTTACACACTTGGCGGGAGCCTCTTTAAGAAAATGATGCAGAAGCAGGTACGGGGCTCTAGAAGGGGGCTGTGTAAGTGAGGGGCCTGCACTGGCTTCGTCAGTATTGTGGTGACCTCACCTGACTCTTAGCTCTACGGGTCAAGAGGCATCCCAGGGTGCGTCTGCCTCGCGGGCCATGGAGAGCAGGGCAGCTCCGCTCCCCACTTCCTCCTTGCCCTGACCACTAACCGCAGCGGCACTCTCACTCAGATTGCTTCCCCTTGCGGTCTGCAGGTCTGAGGTCTCGGCTTCCCCCTCCTCTACTCCGCCAGGGTGCTGGGGAGCTCATCAGCCTTCCACCCCCTGCACAAGCCCTGCGCCCTGGATGACTCAGCTCCGGGGGCCCTTCCAGAGAGGCTCAGTTCCCGCGTGTGTGGTGGAGCCGGGAGCCTGCAGCTCAGCCGCTGGGCTTGCTTACAGAACTTGTAACAAATGACCACAAACTGCGTGGCTTAAAACCACAGGACTTTGTTCTCATGATTCTAGAAGCGTGGACTTGGATGTGGGCGGGCATGGCCCTCCAGGGCCCCTTCCCGGCCTCTGTGCTCGTGCCGTCAACCTGGTCCTGCCTGTTTTCATGTGGCTTTTCCTTGGCAACGTTCCCTTTTATTTATATTTACGTTTTGCTATAGAGCATGTGTGCTCAATGGAGAGAGACAGAGACGAAGAGAAAGAGGGAAAGTGAGAAAGCATGCCCAGGAGAAACGGCCATGCGGCCCTCCCTTGTCCTGCATTCTCCTCTCAGGGTTTTGGGCAGGTATGCACATGCACCTGACATGACTTTCAAGCCACCAGGTCTGGAACTTAAACCACGCAGTAGGGCATGTGGGATCCAGCCCCTTAACCTGCACGCCACCCGCTGGTTCCCCCTCTTCTCATAAGGACACCCATCACTAGATTTAAGTGTCCCCCTAAAGTCAGGATGATGTCATCTCAAGAGCCTTAACTCGCATGTGCAGACTTCCAAATTAGGTAACATTTACAGGAACCGGGTTAGGTGTACAAATATCGCTTTGAGAACCTGCTTTCAGTTCTGCGGGGTATAAACCAAGAAGTGGGACTGCTGGTTCATACACAGTGTTCTAATTTTAATGTTTTGAGGAAGCACCTGTTTCCCATGGCAGCTGCACCGCTCGTAGTCCCTGTCACTGTGCATGTCCTTTGGGACACGGTTCAGCCCCACTGCACATGGGGACAGGGGCTGACCTCACCTCGCCAGGGAGGGCAGAAGATGGGGGTAAGGGAGCTGCAAGAAAGGCAGGCTGCTGGCCTGCTCTGTAGCTGCAAGGGCAGGCAGCGCCCCTCCCAGGGAGCACTTGCCAGGGGCCCTGGAGGACTCTGCCTCTCCTCACCACCACGCCACCTGCTGGCTCAGCCTCTCCTCACTCCTGTCCCTGGTGCAGCCAGACTTCCTGGGAGGGCTCGTCTACACCCCAGCTCAGGCTGCTCCCCTCTGCTCTGGCCCTCGCCTGCGCCTCCCTCGGACCTGTCCTGAACCCTGGGCCTGCCCCTGCTGCTCCCACAGCCCGCAGTGTCCTTGCTCCCGACACTCTCCAGACTCTTCTCTGTCCCCTTCCCTGCTCCAAGTAGAGGGGGGACAGGGAACTGGTAGGAAGGCGGCCCCTCCTGAGCCTCCATGAAGGGGTGCTGGATGACAGTGTGGGCTTTTCTGCCCCTGCAGTGGTGATGTGACCTCCAGACTTACAGACTCGGAGACTCATGGAGAACTGGCCCGCCCCGTGGTACCCAGGACCAGGACACAACCTCCAGCCTCCACTTCCCAACCCCAGTGTGCTCCCCCCAAAGCAGGAAGCGTCCTCAGCCCTCCTAGGTGTCGCTTCCCACGGAGGAAGCGCACAGCTGGCTGTGAGGCCGCGCCTATTGTGTGCCATTTCCTGCTTGGCGCTCGGCCTGGCCCCAGGCCCGCAGCTGCCCGGCCAGTGGCCAGCCTCAGCTCCCGGCCTCCAGGACAAAGGGTGGGCGGCAGACCCCCAGTCAGAACCACGTGAACCTCCCAGCCGAGTCCTCCCGGCCCTCACCCATGGACACCATGGAGGCCAGAGGGTGGCTGCGGCGTTAACTGTGACAAAAGCACGTCACTCGCCATGTACGTCGTCACCACTCTAAGTGGCCACAAAGCACGTTCGTGGTCACGTAGCCATCCCCACCGTCCACCTCCAGAACGCTTTTGTCTTCAACAGAAACCCTATCCCCACTAAACATGCCGGCCCCTCGGAGTTGGGGGCCCCTCACTCCCTTCTCCATGTCTCTAAGTTGGAGTGATGGCCACGTGGCCATTCCGGTCTGCTTGTCCCTCATCCGTGGATGGGCACCAGGTGGCCCCTGTGAATATGCTGCTCTGAGCCGGGCATGCAGACCTCTCTGAGACCCTGCTTTCAACTCCTGGGCCGAGTGCCCAGAGTGGGACCGCGGGGTCACACACGTGATCCCGTTGTTCATGTTGAGGAGTCCTGCATCCCCACGGCGGCTGAGCCGTTCACTTTCCCGCCACCGTGCACGGGACCCAGTCTCTGGACACCCTCACCAGCAGTGCCGGTGTCTGTCCTTGCGGATGAGCCGTCCTAGCAGGTGTGAGGCAGACTGGGCCGTTTACCTGACGTCTCGTGAAACTGAGTGTCGGCCACTCTTGCATCTTTGTTGGAGAAAAGTCTGTTTGGGTCCTTTGCCCACTTTTCAATAGGATTGCTTGTTTTTTTTTTTTTTAAATAATTTTCTGTGTGTGTGTGTGTGTGTGTGTTGATTTGTTTTAAACCACTAGGTTCCAGGGTGATTTATCATGCAGAGTACTCGCAAACTCTTTCTGGGCACCCGGAGAAAGGTGGGGGTTCTACAGCTTCCATCCTGAGCCTGTTCGTACTTTTGCCCATTAGGAAGAAGCCCAGGGGTGGGCACTGCGCTGCCCTGCTGCCCGCCTGCCTTGATGCCCCTACCGGAACAGACGTCGGTGAGTTTCTATTCCACAGGCGTGCGTGTCCTGCCTCCAAGTACCTGCTCATATCGGTTCAGATATCACAGCACCCGGGAGGTCATTATCACTGTGGTGTAAGTGGGTAAACACCACCTTTTTTTAAAGAGTTATTTAATTTGATTTCATTCATTGTTATTATTTAATTTATTATTATTATTATTTTGAAATTGACAGAGAGAGAGAGAGAGAGGGAAAAAAAAGGAAAGTGAGAAAGCAAGCTGCCAGGTCTGGGACTCGAACCGTGGTCAGGCATGTCGGAGTCCAGCTGCCTTAGCCACCACACCACCTGCCGGACCTGGTAAATACCATCTTAAACAGGTGACTCAGCCTCAGAATTAGGAACATGGGGAGACAGACAAGATCCAGGACTTGAACTCATGCCCATGAGTGATCCCTCTCTCTTCCACATTGTGTGTGGAGGGCACTGGGCTGGGCAGTATGGCAGGAGCCTGGGCAAGCTCACATGTCATCGTAGGTGACAGGCAGGTGCACCTGGCGCTTGGAGACACAGTGTGTGCTAACCATGAGGACGAAAGAGCCAACCAGGAACAATAAGACAGTGCGATTCAAGCTGGAAGGGGAATCCCAGAAGGCTTACTGGGCGAGGTGTGGCACGAACTGGCCTCTGCGACTAGACTTCAGTCAGCGTCACCAGCAACCACAAAGAGGCTTCAGCAATGGGGAGGCATTGTTCTCACAAAACAGGAGACCTAGAACCTTTTCTGTGGGCATGCTGGGAGGTGGAACAACCGGGCGGCCCTGCCCGAGGGCTTGGAGTCAGGCTGCCGAGGTTCAAGGCCCAGCTCTGCCAGTTCACATGTGACCACCCGTTCTGTTCTCAGGGCCTCTTCTGCATGTGTCAGTCAGAGATCCTCACTTCACGGGCACCCAGGAGTGGGGTCCCTGGAGCAGAGTGAGTGGGACATCAGCGCCGAGGCCTGGTGGCTGCTGCTGTGACACAACTGCTGCAGGAGGCCCGTTTTCGCCGGCTGGCTCGTCTGTCTGGATCTCCTTCGAAGCCCTCTGCCATTTCTGTGGAGGCCCTCATGCTCGCTGTCCATACCAGCGAGGGCTCTGCCCTCTCTCCACCCCCGAGCCCGGCAAGCCCCCCGGAGAGCAGTCCTGCAGCAGAGACGGCTGGCTGGCCCTGGCCAGGATGTGCTGCGGTGGTCCCAGGAGTCGCCACTCAAACCCCAGAGGCTGGCACCACCGTGGCTGCTCCTCTCACGCCCAGAAGCCTGCGGTCCACACAGACCATGGGGAGAGGTTCTGAGCACCCCGTTGCAGGCAGAGCCCTGCACGGCCTGAGTCATCATGCCTCCGCTTGCTCATCCCTGCTGCCCCAGCTGCTCACGTGTGGTGGGGACACGGACCTTCTGAAGAGCAGCCGCATTCCGTGGGACACGTGCCAAAGCCAGGGTCACTACCGGGGCTGCCAAGTTCAGGGTACGTGTGGCAGCTTGAGCTCAGAAAAGGCATTCTGGGGTGATGCTGTCCACGCCAAGGGAGGAGACTCGGTGGTTGTCCTTGAGGAGCTGACGCCCAGTTGGGGCAGAGGCAACTACAACTTTGTATCGTCATTTCTGCTGCTAGTCACAGTGGAGCAGCTGGGATCCAACCAATCCTCCCACAGAAGACAGCAGCAAAGGTTGGAATAAACCCACATAAAACCGAGAGCTTTGCAGAGTAATTAAGGCTGTCTGCACCCGGGGAGCCAAGATCCTAGAACCTGGAGATCATGCTGACATCAGAGGGCCCTTAGGGCCATTCCCCATCTCTCCCCTCAGGCCAGAAAAGCCATTTCAAAGCGTGAGACTTAAAGACGGAATGTCAGCCCCTAAGGCTTCTGCAGCTTCCTGGGGGGAGAGGCAAAGAAGAGTGTATGGCCAACCAAGGCCAGGGCCAGAGAACCCAGACAAAAGGAAATCCAAGCTTGGCAAGCGACTGTTGCCCTCAGGCTATGTGCTAAATCCTGAGCTGCTGACAGGCGAAGGGCCAAGAAACCCCCCAAAAAAGGGGCTACTAAGAGGCTAAAATGGTAAGCTGAGGTTTTGGCGATCTGAAGATGTAAAAGCAAAAGAACTGAAATTCAGAGTTCTCCAAGGAAGATAGGTCTAGTGGATACCCAAGTGTTCAACTTGAGAACTCTGTAAACACTCTGTCTCCAGTGGCTGCTCTAGGACAGAAGAGGCAGTAACTCATTGCTTCTAGGATGCTAAAGGAGGTTTTACCGAGGAGGAGGTTTTTGAGCTGGGTTGTTATGAACTGGATGCTTCTGTCTCCCAAAGTCACAGATCCCATTCCTAACAACGTGATGATATTAGGAGGTAGGGCCTTTGGAAGGTAATTTGGTCACGAGAGTGGAGCCTCACAAATGGGATTAGTATCCTTGTAAGAAAAGACACCAGAGACGTGATCTTGGCTACCGCCATGTGAAGATGCC